CCTGTGACTTGTGAAAGAACTTGTCCTGTACAATAACATCTAACACAACAATACTTTAACTTAAAACCCTAGTAACAGTATGTACTACAAAGCAAAGGAAAATGCAAAATTAGAAACTTACCCGAAGTTATTAGTACAAGTTTTCTAGGAGAAAAATATATCTTGGTTTTAACACACCTACCGAATTTACAACGATTCACCTTCGTAAAATCGCGGATATAACTTTCAAATTCAACAGATAACTTTTCACTTTACCTGAATGGTGGGTTAGCTCATTCACGGGTACCTATTTCCGCTGCTATACGCAACACACCCAAACAGAAGCCCTGCCATCTATCGGCCATTTAAAAATGCAAAGCTGGAATTCCATTCCAAGACGTCATTTCAAAGGCTTTTATTGTTTGTTTTTTAACCGTTTAGGTACATAGAATATTTGGACTTTTGTTTTTAAAATGCGTTTGACAACTGTGGACTTTCACGAGTTCAAGTTTACTCTACAAAAATAATGTGTCATTGGTCGGGGACCGGATTTCCGATCTCTAAGAGTATTACGTAATCATTTAACCAGAACTGCAACGAGGCCGTCCAAACGGTCATGAGAATAACACTAAAACCGGAATTTATAAGTTTATGACGTCAATTAAAAAAGAAAAAGACCTTGAGTTTCTAATTTATATTCCAAGAGTATAGACATGTGGTTAACTAAGATGCACATCTACACAGTTTTGAGCAGAAAACTAATAAAAATGTTGACGCTTAATTGTAAAGGGAGACTTAAATACTCAATTTTTGTTTTGTAAATAAACCTTTGCACGACCTTTAACAAACAGAAATGTTAGCAGCACTGCTAATAACATATCGTCTATTATGAATGTTTATATGCAAATCCTTCTTTCTGGTAGAAGTTAAACTTCATAAAAGTTGTTTTGGTTTTAATAACGGATTTTCTATAATTCAGCTTCGCAGATTTCGAAAATAATATTCTTTTTTTCTATCACGTAAAAATTTTGTACAAATTGGGAAGAAAAAACTTTATTATTTCGTTTACCGCAATGAACATTTTTATTATTATATTCGTTTACAAAAATACAAACTTCAGAAAAGGGAAGAACATTGATGTCAAACGAATATGTATCCTCATTCACCTCGATTTTTTGTGTGAATTCTACGTCTCTTAGTCATTTCTTTTTGCGTATTCCGTTATGACGTTTTGTGACATATCTGTACGTGATGGAGAAATATTGATATCAATACAATAACGAAACCACTGCAGGCCTGTGTAATCGCTCGATCAAACTAAGTGCGATTTGAATTTTAACTCTGACATTGTTCATTACGAACACTTGACCTTTTTTTGTTTTATCATAAATGGAAATACGAATACAATGGACTTAAAATAGCAGAAAATTACTTTGTTCATTCGAAGGAAAACTTAACAACTTAATTCAAATTGCTTTCGACAGATATACTTTGACTATGAAAATGATCCTAGGTGTTAAATAAAATCCTATATTGCAAAAATGATTAAGAAAGCAAATACTTTTTTGTTTGTTTGTTGTCAAGTGCAAACCACACAATGGGCTATCTTTGCTCTGCCCACTGCGTATATCCAAACCGGTTTTTAGCGTTATAAGCCCATCGGGTTACTGCCGAGTCAACAAGGGTGAAAGGGCAAAGCAAATACTAATTATTCTAAACTTCTTTCCAATTACAGTATTACCAAACGATATGTATAAAAAAAATATTTAAAACGACACTAATAAGACTCCAGCAACAATGTGTAATATCCTAGTTTTGATAAAACGTAGTTTTCTTATATTACTTACAAAATGTATAATTATTACCATATTTAACTAGACAAATAAAAGTACAAACAAATTATAGATTATTTGCTTATATCATCAAAGCCCAAACTAAATTCTCAAACTTTTCATATCAGGTGGGTTGTATTTGACAAAGCTACTAAGGGAAGGCAAGTCAGTCAGCAGCACCCGTAACACATGCTAAATGGTTGACTGTTGCTCTTATAAGACACACACAAGTTAAAGTGCGGAGAGTATTTTTTGAAACACATGGATTCAAACCAAGGCCGTATCTAATAGTATTGTACCGGAGAGAACTAGACAGAACACAAGTCACGTGGGTTAGTTGCATACGTATTATTGAAGACTTTCAGTATTTTTGATGTATAATACTTCTACATTGGTTTAACAATACTTGGCAGTTGTAATGCTCATAACTGTACCATGCAAAGGAGTGCTGATCCGAAAGTTCAAGTTTATCAGTTTTAGATCTTGCTTTTAATACCTAGTTTGCTACAGTTATACTCGAAGATTGTAAAACCACTATGCTCCTTCAAGTATTTACTGGTATACAAGTCCTCACAAACCATGTGAATTATAAATATATAAATAATATATATATATATATATATATATATGTGTGTGTGTGTGTGTGTATAACTTCGTTTGTATGTAATTAAATAAAAAACTAAAACCTATTTTAATTAAAACTTAAGTATACTTATTTCTACCTTTACTAATTTAGTTACGGTAACCCCT